ATTCATTTAGCTCTCCTTATTAGAATGTAACTCTTTATGTCAATTCCACAATACAAGGAAATATTAGGGGAAAAAGTAGTAACTATGACCATTGAGGGCAAACAAGATTGAAGGTCTGATACTTGCTACAACTAGCTTTCTTATGCTATGTTGTCTGGCACGTCTTGCTACGTATCGAACCCTACACAAGATTGAAGGTATGATGTTGGTGGCTACTAGGTTTTGAATGTTGTATTCTCTGGCACTTGTTGCTGTATACTATCATAAGCATTATCTATGAACATGCAAAAGAGAATTTTTATGTTTCCTTGTTTTGCCATCTTCCTCTGCCTTTTGTATTATCTTTTCCCCCTTTTCCCATTTACAGATTCATAGTTTTAAGACTTTGTTGTTTTCATGCTTTAGGATGTCTAAGTTAATAAATTACTTCAATTATTTTTTCATGTTCTTTCTCATTTTATTGCTTATTTGTGCATAGTAGTTGATGCTATCGTATCATAAAATGCATGTCGCATTAACTTTCTTATACACATTCATTAGGGAAACATTTTTTTCCCTTAATTTTCAATCTGTAAACTCTTTCCGCTCATCCAAAAGTTCCTATGTACACTTCTAAGATCCATGGTCCTATAATGTTCTTTTCTTTTCAACTACCAAAACTTGAACTCATATGCAAGAGGTTTTAGAGGACAATTTAACAGTAATCACAGTATGCTCATGTGCATCCCTCTTACATTAACAATCATGCTTGAAATTTATTGGCTTTGACGTTACAGTCTTTCTTTCATGTTGAATGAAGACCTCAGATATCTAAAACTTCTATTCTTTTAAAATTTCTTGTCAACTTGTTTTACATGTTTGTCATTCTTTAATCGATGAAAGTGAGTTAACTTGATGTATGAGACCTATATCTACTAATTATCTATCAATTAGTTTCTCAGGTTTTGTATTTATGGTTCATGTCCAGAATTAATCCCAATAAGGTTCTGATCAACTAGAAAATTATTGTAAATAAACAACATACACAAGGGAAAATGTCCTTGGTTAGTTCATACAGTATTGAAATAAAAAATTAAAGGACTTCAAATTATTCGTTTGACCTAACCCTATACTGGTAGCTAATGCTATGCCCTTGTGTTATTCTTCTGATGCCGGTAACTTTAGTTAGATATCTTCATCTTATTTTTGTATTTATAAGAATCTGGTTTTTGTGCGAAACCGAGTTATGAAAGATTTAATTGGGTGATTGCATTGGTTAGTTTGCGGATTGAAGATATTCAAAAATTCCATTAATTGTGAAGCCGAAGTCCTTCAACTTCATGAATTCGCTTCTCTTTTACTACATCCAAAACCATATGGGGTGACTACTACTTGAAAACTTATATTCCATTTGTTTTTATTATCGGTTCGGTTGTCTTGTTTTAGTAATCATACAGTGTAGCTCCTTCCATCCTAAACAAATTTATGTTAAGCCGATGGCGTTAACTTTCAGCTGTGAAATAACCTGTAATGTATGTGGCAAGTCATCCGACTTGATCTTCGTTTTGCAGTTGCTACAGAAGCAATGAACCAGTACTAGTCCATTCAAATACGTTTTACGGTCGTCGGTTTATGAGATGCCCTTATCAAGTTTCGTTATCTAAGATGCTGTTGAATCAAGCTGACTTCATCTGTTGAGATATCAGCTCAGTATTACTTATTAGTATATTTAACCAGGATCCATCACAACTGGACACTTGTTAACTCAACCAAGGTTTACCAATAGAGTTAGGGCACAGATCAGTCATTTCAACCTAAGAAACAGCTTATGATGAAGTTGTTGACTTTGAATTGAATCTGAATCCTTTTGAGCTGAATTAGGTTACAATTAGAAAGCTAAGCCCAGTATTGGGTACAAGTAATGGTAATGGTGGTTTACCCATTACCATCAGTCTTGGTATTGACCTGTGGTAATGAAATTAACAAGGAACAAGTAATGTCAATGCCAAAGTCATGGATGCAAGATGGAAATTGATGTTGTCAATTGATGACCGGTTGAAGATTGTGGGGGGAGTGTCTCTTTCAACAACTGGTGCAAAACGAGCAGCAACAATCACAAAGAAAATACTGAACGTCGGGCTATTTTGATCAGAAATAGTGAGGAAATACTTGAGGGATATAATAATCAGAATCTTGAGATCAACAGACGAGAAAAGTTCAACAGCAGTCATATTATGAAGTGTAATTTGTTTCGCTGATGAGAAATCACATGTTGCTTCAGATTGTTTTCATAGATCAATTAGAACACTCTGCAAGACATAAAAGAAGATATTTAGGTGTCTCAATCTTTTGCTGTATGGATCTGCCCTCACGCAGTCCCTTGTTTTATAAGAGTTTTTGGGGTCCTCCGGCACTATGCTAGAGTAGTGCAAAACCTTCTCAGATCGGTATGGAGAGAAATCCTGTGTTGAATCTCGACTTACAAGGGAACAAAACAATGTCGAAAGTCTTCTTGAAACTCCTCCCAAGTTAGTATGAAATAAATCAGACTGATCCAAAGTCCAAACCATTTTTAATAGACTTAAATGATGTTCTTGATCTCATCTTAACCAAAAACTTGACCACCAAGTCTTTGTCTCACGGTATGCTTGCTTTACTAGGAAAGAAGTCAAGGAATCGGCAGAGATGTCCTGTCAGTACAGAAATTCTCACACAAGAATTTAGTGAATGGAGTAAGAATATGCAAGTGAAAACGAAAAATACTCATACAAGAATTTAAAGAAAGTTATAATTGTTTTTCCTGGTGAAATTGATGTTGAAGAAACAAAGGCAAGACCAGGGTTGAGGTATGTATGGAGGCTTCTTCTTTGTTGATTTTTAGCTGCTATATTCTTCACATGATGATTTGTAATGTATCTCGAAACCAAAATAAAATGCTGAAAACTAATCTCAAAATCTTGAATGAATAAAAATGGCAAGACAGTTTCATCATATTCTCTCCAAAAAGTTTAGAGTAATTATTGTGGTATAATTAATTCACTACTGAATCATTTTGCATATTTTGTTAGTTATAATGTTGCAGATTGTTAGATGGACTTGGTGAAAGAAATAAAATAAAATTAGAGTTGTCTTTCTTTTTAATATGCTTGCTATCTGGTGGAGTCATAATTAAAAAAAATGCAGTGTGTTACGCCCTTTATTCTGATGGTGTGTGTTCAAATTTGCAGAAATATCTGTTTTATTTTGATGAAAGAACATCACTTGTTTTATTGATGTCATTATTATGTCTTCCTATTCCTTTTCCATTTCATCTCTTTTTGGCTTGCTTGTACAATGATGTTGTGTTTTGCTGAGAGAAACTATAGCTAACTATTATTGCCATCTATGGTTGTCTCAGTCATGTTAGAGGTTTGAAGCCAATTTGGGTATAATTTTATGAGCTCATCGTCGTCCGAGTCTTGCTATATAGAGAATGAGATGGTTTGATAAATGCCTAAGTAGGTTGGAAAGCCTTGTGGTTTTCGGCGATCATCAATTATATAGAATCGTCTAGTGTAACGCTTATGATGAGACGTTATGGTTAATGCCCATATGACTTGTATTAATGAGATAAGAAGTCCGATCGAGATGGTATTAAAGTTGAAATGATATTAAGTTAAAAGTTTACGAGATGGTATTAAAGTTGAAATGATATCAAGTTAAAAGTTTAGGAAGATTTATGTTTTTATCAATTCTAGATAGCTGAGACTTAAGATCTTATTATATGAGACACCCGATCGAGTTATCAGATTGATGGGACATCTAATGTGATATCAAACTCCGCCATCAATAATCAGGTAACTAAAGATAAATCCATTCATTAGATTTGTTATATATTCTTGAATTTGGTTGGAGTACTTATCAGTATTTCCGTAACAACATGACCTCTTGAAACCACATATATTTTACCTGAGACAGTTTGGATACGATATCTCAATCCTCATATCAAGAAAAATTGTGGTTCACGATGTAATCGATGTGTCAGTCAATATCCCGTTTTATTAGACTGTTATTCTCAGCGAGTTCTGTGCTCTCCATGTATCCTCCATCTTACCTAAACACCTGGAATCCTTTTCATATATATAGCGGCAGATTTTATTGCCTTTAGCTTGTGGGAATCAGACAAATCCAAAAGACATTTGATGAATATGTCATGATCAGTCCAGCATATATTCTACACATTTTACCTGCTCAATGTAGCAGAAGGATTCTATCGACACAGAGAGCCAATGATGTTATTATTCCTAGCAAGTGGAGCAACAGAGAGTTATGGGATTGATCGTAAGAGAAGCAGGAGTCCATGTGGAAATTTTACCTGTTCTTTTCACTGGATAACCTTTCTTCGACAGGGGCGTGTAAGATGTCATCGACCGTCATGTTGACGGCGCTAAGAGGAATCGGAGAGGTAGATTATAAGAGAGATTGAAGTTTGTGATTTATAGAGGAGAAGAGAATGTGTTCATAGTTTTAAGGGAAGAAGATGCAGCAGATTCTGTGCAGGGTTCTGAGCAGAGCAATTTATGGTTCTGCCAACAACGTTGTCCATCCCACTCACTGTCTACTTCAACCTCTCGTTCGTCTTTCTCTCTCTCTCTAACATTCATAGCACACAATGTAACCCGCAGGAGGTATGCTTCCAAACGAAGCATTCTATTTGCCTTTTAGTAGCCATCTTACTCTTGATACTTTTTGCCACCGTAGCTTGTACACAAATAGATGTATTCCCAAGAGGCAAAGTGGGAATAAGGTGACTGCCATCCGAACAACCAAGAAAATTATCTCAAAACTTCATTCAAAAAGAAAAAATGCGTACTGAATTCAATAAAATTTACTTTTGTAGCTCAATCTCTGTAACAAAATTATCCAAGTCACATTTTAGCGAAGCCAATGAGAGCTTCCCGCAAGTATGATGATAATGAGGATTGCTAACACTGTTGCAGCTGTACGTTTACAAAAACTTCAAACAAGAAAAAAAAAGTAAGTGATTCGCAAAACTGTCTTGTGTTGAAAAGGTTTGTTAAACAATGATGGAATGAACAAAATTGCCGGGTGCAAATTAGAAGTCATCCAGAATCATGGCCTACGTCTTCCATGCTTTCACTTGAGTCAATATCTTCAACTATCACCACATTTTCATCATCTATAGTCTTTTCTGGGCCTGGTCCTGCGGACACCTTCACCATTGATGGACGCAAGAGTCTTTCCCCAAGTTTGAAACCTTTACGGAATTCTTGAATTATGATGCCCTCTTCGAACTCCGTCGACTCCTCATGCATTATGGCCTCATGAAACTTCAACAACAAATCACAAGTAAGCAATGACAAAAAAAGGAAAGAGAGAGAGGAGCAGAGACAAATCTGGTCAAGCAAATAAACAATCAAGAAAAAGATAAATCTATATACATAGGAGCAGATATCTGCTGCTTTCGGACTAGTGCTATTAGTACGGGGTTAACGTAAATCAAATCTAACTTCTTTGATATGTATGTTGCTTTAAACTAGTCTATGTAAAACTTGACCCAGGGAGTAAGTTGTTGGAAGATATCCACACTGTGCAGCTGCAGGGGATACAATTATAGATAGCACCAAAGATGTTCCATATATTAGCAGGGAAACAAAGTCTGTGAAGAACTGAAAAGCAGGCTGCAAGTATGACATGAGTGATATATCTATACAAGAGAAAGCAAAAAATAACTTACCAAGGGATCAAACGAACTCCCAACGGTTTCCACTGCTTCCACACCTAGGGAGGTTAGGATCTCTAGAAACTGCTTATAAATGCTCTGGTAGCTGCTATTAATTTTCTCTTCTACCTGTGTCTCCACCTTTATTTGGGATTTAGCTCTTTCGAAGTTGTCTAAAACAGGCAATAAGCTCTCTATGACTTCACCTTGCACATTTGTCATCAAAGAAAGCTTTTCTCTCTCGGTCCTCTTCCTAAAATTGTCGAAGTCGGCACTGATCCTAAGGACACGGACCCGTTCTGCCGATGATTCTTCGGCCAAAGCAGCAATTTTAGTCGAAAGAGAGTTCTTCTCATCTTCAATTGACTGAAGAAAAGTTTCTATTTCAGAAACCTTTGACCGATCATTATTTGCCAACGCTTCTTTGTATAACTGTAGGGACAGCATTACAGTTGAAGCAACTGTTTCTTCCATGCCAATACCATCACCATCGGTTGCTTCATCCTCTACAGAAATTTCTTCATCAGAATCCTCCTGCAATATAGATATGTTAACATGATCACATCAGGCATCACTAACAAAATAGAACTCAATAAACTGTGGTTTTAAGTAGAAATGAATAGAGATCGATGTAACAATGATCATAAAACAACTCTTCTCACTTCTGTCTAAATCACAAAGAACTTACATGTCCTAAGCATTTTGGGAAAGATTATTGATATGACATGAAGATCTGACAAAGATGCAATGCATGGCAAGAAAACATGGATGTTTTTATAAGATCTAGTTAATGAAGCTACAATGTGGGATATTCTACAACAAGAAGGTTCGAGCAGTATCTTTGCACAAACTACAGAACAGATTCTTTTGAAAGATTCATCTACCATGACCCTGCCCACAAATTCAAGCTCCTACAAACTCCAAATTGCATGATACAGCAACAATAATAAGCAATGATGTCACGAATATTTGGGACCAACTACATGAATCCTTATAATATTCAATCAAGTGGGCATCACAGACAAATGTATTACAAAAAGAAACAAGCAACTTCCTAAACAGGTAGTATTTACCAACCAATTTCAGGGGAATCGATTAAACCGGCAACCACCAACACAATTTCATATGCAATAACTACAAGTACGCATCAAGAAAACCAAATTCTAGAACGAATCAATCAACCATGCTCATAAACATCTCCCAACCCCCACCCCATAAAGAAAAATCTCTCATTTCAACAGCAAACTCGTGCCTTTGGACCTAAAATAAGCACAGCGGAAACCAAAAAAAGACAATACCTTTTCCACAGTTTTCGCAGTCTCTCCGGCCTCGGTCGTGTCCCCATAGGCAGCGAAGCCTCCTAGGTTTGGGAAGCGGAGCGGCTTGTAGGCAAGAGGGGACAGCTTTAGCCTTAAAGGCCACGAGATCCTCCGCCTTGCAGAGAAAAATGGAAGACTCCTCGCCGCCTCCAAAGAAGCCCCTCGGGCCGCCCCCGCTGCCACCTCCGGCGGAGCGATGAGGAGCGCCGGCGCTCTCAGGATTGAGGCCATGAGCGAGAGAGCGCGAGGCGGAAGAGGATGAGAGAGTGAGACAGAGAGGGGTTGGTCTAAAAGACTCCTGACTTATCCGGAGGAATCGGCCCATTGTCGTCATCCAAAATAACCGGTTCGAACCGCCAGCCGGTTCGGTCTAATGAATAGGCCTCCTCTTCCTGCCTCACCAAAGCATCCAGCAAATAAGCCATCCACCGAACTACACGAGTCTCCAACGTTCTTAAACTCTGTGATCCCAATCCATTTCTTACTGAAACAAACACTGCAAGAACTCATCGATATCATAAGATTCATAACCACAAACCAAACAATACAATGCCAAATTCATTCCTTTTGTATCCTCCTTAATCAGCAAGAAAAGGAATTCCTTTTACCTTCAGAGGTGCAGTTGCCGGCAATACAACCTTTTAGCAGTTGCAGGCATTACTCTTCCCCGCATGAGGATGTGATTACCTAAACACACGCAACCAAATGAGTTCAAATCCGCATTTGATCTCCAAGAAGTCTGCAATGATCAAGCTCGATGTACCATCTACCTGCAACTCACTTGTTTTAAGCATACAGATGTAAGCATATTACAGAAACTAGATTTGTTGCACTCTGTTTATAGATATACCAACAGATTCACCGAATGACATGCCAGATATAGAGCATCTGCTGGTGGAGATCTGGAACTAGCTTGGGTTTGCATGTGTTGATGGATTGGTAGATCTACCAACAAACAACTCCCTGAACACAGAACTAGCAATCCATACTTGAGTTCATTAGGATCATCATAAAACAGTCAAAACCATAAGGTTTCTCCTCGAATAAAATCTCCAATTCAGATAGCAACAATGTCCTAGAGACCCAAATTGGTCCTGGATTAGCTAAAAAATCAAATAAAATTTGTAAATTTATGCAATGTTAACTGCCTAATATTAAAACAGTCATTTTCATACATAAGGAAGAAAATGTAGGTGCTTTTGTGTTGATAATTATACTAGTTATAGAACAAGCAAAAGCAATCTTGAGTAGAAGGATACATGAAATAAGGAATTTTACATGACAGAGAAATCATTCGGTAGAGGAAAAGGCCTTGAAAATCATATGCTTTAATGCCAAGGCATTTTCTCCTTTTAAGGAGATTCAAATTAAATAAGATGCTTGCATTGCATGTTCACAATACAAATGAACTATCAAGTCCTATCTATTGGCTTAAGCTTTTACATGGGCTGACAAGGGTTTAGAATTTAACATGGTAACAGAGCTCGAGTCATTTTACTAGGCCATATGTGAGGGGAAGAGTTAAGAACGTGATGATTTTTTCTGGAAGAATTACCAGATTTTCAAAATAAAAGCGGATGGGAAAAAGCTCAACTTATATCCAACTTTAGCATCTCCCCTCAAGCAAGCTGGATGAAGAATGAATATGCTTGGCATGCGGACTCATGTGCAGCATAATGGTGAAAACCAAAAACGAAGGGTTTAATATAAAGATTCACATGTGGGTGAATTACACACTCGACGAAACATGAAAGGAGGCAGAATTCAGATATGAACTGATGATCTGCTCTGATACTAAAATTAATGAAAGCATAGGACAATAGTTGATGAGTTTGCAGGGATTTAAAATTTAACATTCATGTTTCATTTTCTGTAAGTTTTCAAGTAAAACAGCAGGTGGAAGCTGAATATTCACAATTAAGGTAGCTAATTGTGAAACAATATCAGGCTCCACTATAATTTAGGACTGCAAGACACCCATGCCCTTTCCCAAAAGTATGCAATTTCAATACCACAAATGGTAATTAAGAACAGAAAAGGCAAGAATATTTGGAAGTCTACTGCTGCTGATTAATTTTCTCTAACAAATTTAGGAAAAATTAGCATCATTTTGGTATGTCATATTTTGTTTCCTTTAAAGAAAATATCACAATAATAGCATGAAGCATGCAAACGAAAGATAGAATAGCCAAATTCAGGATTCCATAAGAATCTCATGCAGCTTATATCAAGGATATTAAGTAATATCAATTTGTATCTTAGACCCAAATTCCCCAAGGCTACGTTCATCATTTGTACTGATGTTTTCTTTGGTAGCTCATATAAACAGTTTATATAAGAAAAATATAAGCAAGATTAAATGCTCAAATAAAACATATATTGTCAGAGCTAGAGTGCTAATGGAAGTCCATGATCTATCAGAATGTTACCAGGCATTTATGCCTCATGATACTCCATCTGCTCAATTGGCTCTACAATATGCAACGATCTGCAATTTAACAACTGTCTAAAAAGTCACTGATGATGAAGCAAAATTTCAGCAGAAAGTTAAAGTTGACCTTTTTAAACATAAACGAGGACAAGAAACAGATAACCTCAGCTTGAAAAGAATCTGAACGATGCATGCTTGGAATTTTGTTGTACAAAATTTTATAAGCAACTAGAATAAACTCTTTTTTACTGTAAGACTCATCTTTGTATGGTTATATCATTTTTCTTGTTCATAACATGACATAAGTATACACATTAAGTGGTTGTAACACAATACCAAAATGTTAGACATAATAACATAGAGTTCCAATAGAGAATGACCATCAGGAGTACTTTACTAAACCACTAAGAATTCTGTTTAGCGATGAGGAGTAGATGGTCCTTTCCCCTGTGTATTTCTTGGTAAAAGACAAATACTTGACAAGTACGGTGGAAGTGGATATGGTTACACAAACATATGTCCATCACAAATCCATATTGGTATCCTGAGCTATTGAAAATTTCCACAATATGGATATGGATTTGCTTTGAGTTCTATCTCAGTTTGAATAAAAACACAAGGAAAGATGTAATTTGATTAGTCTTGACGAGTATAGTGTATTGTTACTTCACATTCTCTTTCTATCAAACTTGCTTTTAAATTTTATTATTCAAGAAAATAAATTTATTTTTTGGAGTTTGATCTTGATTATTTATTGGTGACAAACATTTATACTCATATCCGTTTTAATTTTATTTAAATCTTTTTCAATCACACACTAGATGCATATTGCATTCACTAAAACAAATATGGTTCCAAAATTTAATATGCATATGGTGTTCATATATGTATATGTATATTAGCTAATTAGAAATGGATAACAAATGATTTTGCTGCAATTGAACCATTTTTACTCACACTGATAGGCCACCTACTGGAGGTTCTTGTTAAGTAAAATATTGTATTACTATTTCATAAGGGAAAATTTCCCAGAAGAGATTTGTTTTCTTTTGATTTATGAGAAAAAATTAAATTTGCTCGAGATCTTCTATCAGATTTCTACTAACTTAACATAAGGGGGAAAAAGTCCTCAAAGATTCACTTCCTTTTACTTCATTAACAGTAGCAAAAGCTAATTGAGACATTATAAGAGTGTGGTACTTGTTTACTACTAACTACTAACAAAATGCTTCATTTCTTTAAGTTACAACTTAAATCACATTGTTAAATTAAATTAGATATTACAAATACATGTTTTTCTTGTAGCATTAAATTGTGGTTTCAAAGGTTTGAATAATACAATCTCATCTTGCAACTGACTTAAGAATATCTAGTGACAAGAAGTTAAACTGATGATGCATGAAGAGGACTAGGAATTACTTGTGCTGTAAATTGGAAATAACCAGAAACCAAAGCATCCAAATGATGACATAGATATACAAATTTGAGTCTGATAAACGAATATTATATGACAGTTTGGAACATGAGCAGATGAGTCAGTTTGAAGCATAAGTATCATAAAAGAAAATTGAAATAATTAGATCAGCTTTAAAATGCTAATAGCATCATTATTGACTATGATACAGCATTGGAAGTTAGTTGACATCAATATTTCTATTTTCTAAGAAGAATTTGTAACATACAATCTGTGATACATATAGACAAATTCTAACTTGCTTCATGATTGGTTAGGAAGTTGTGCGAATGTTCCTGAATTAGGGTTGCACCCTCCAACTAACATCTTCTTATACACAGCATAAGCATGGTCAGCATCACCTGATGTGCTATAACCTCGAATTAGTGCATTATATGTGAAAACATTAGGTCGGAAACCTTTGATTTGGAGTTCTTCATACATCTTTCCAGCTTCAGCCACCATCCCAGCCTTCCCAAAGTTGAGAATCAAGGAATTGTAAGTATACAAGTCAGGAAATATTCCTCTATCTTGCATTTCATCAAAGAGAGCAACAGCTTCTTGTAGTCTCTGAGTTTTTCCAAGACCATTAATCATCAAATTGTAGGTAATCAAATCAGGTTCAAGTCCAGTAACCCTCAATTCCTCAAAATAGAAGAGAGCATCTTCCGCTCTGCCAGCCATGTAAAGTGTGTTTATGAGAATGGTGTATGACTTCACATCTGGCCTGATTCCCTCTTTAACCATCCTTTCGAAAGTTTGAAGAGCCTTTACTACTTCACCAGCCTTTCCAAACCCATTTATAAGAATGTTATATATAGCACAGTTAGGTTTACATCCATACTCAACCATCTCGTTGAACAAACTTTCTGCCTGAGTTACTCTTCCTGACTTTAGAAGTCCATCAATGAGAGGACCATATGTACATGGAGTAGGGGAAAAGTCTTCCGACATCAGATCATAATACATGTCAATTGCCTGATCCAACATTTTTGACTTGACAAGGCCTGAAATGATTGTATTGTAGGTTATGTTGTTCGGTGTGCATCCCCTAGAAAGCATCTCTTCTTGCAGCTTAAATAATCCCTCAATTCTTGATGACTTTCCATATGCATCAAGAAAAGCATTGTAGGTGTTAACATCCGGTGAACAGCCAACGTTTTTCATCTCTGCAAAAAGCCCTTCAGCAACTTCAACTAGGTTGGTTTCAAGGAGGCCATTAATAAGAGGATTATATGCTTCGATGGTTGGTGAAATACCATATCCTTTAAATGCCTCAAACAGATTATATGCATCCCAAGCATTTTTATACTCACAAAGAAACTTGATAAGAGGGCACAACAAGTAGTCATTCTGGAATGTGCCATTACTACAGATCCTTTCTGCAAATTTAACTGATTCATCAATTCCAGCTTCATTTAATATTCCTTCCATGAGAGCTACCCAGGAAAATCTGTCTGTTTGAGCATCAGGCTGAAAAATATATGTGTTGGTAATATAGACAGCATCCTGTAACATTTGATTTCTCAAAAGGATTGGCAAGATGCTGCATAAAGTTACAAAATCAGGAAACAGAACTTTTCTCATTTGATGATAGAGCCATATTGCTTCACTAACTGTGTCTTCCTTAACTAAACCATAGATTACAGTGTTGTAAGATAGTTGATCAGGTAAACAGTCCTTCTCTGTCATGCCATAGAGCATGTTCAGTGCACAGTCTGTCTCACCATTTTTAGATAGACAGTCCAACATGGTGTTGTACGTTACTATATTTGGAGGACAATTGTGGCGGCTCATATCCTGAAACAAATCCATGGCCTTTTTAACTCTTCCCTCTTTTCCCAATCCTGCTAGCAATGTGTTGTATGTTACTACAGTGGGCACAAGATTCATTGCCTTCATACCATGAAACACATTCCAAGCTTCATCCACCCTACCAGCCTTGTAGAGAGCATCAATCAGAGAATTGACTGTAATCTCATCTGGGTAACACCCTCTTTGTCTCATTTCACTGAACATCTTCAGAGCTTCATCAACTCTGCCAGCCTTGTTGCAGCATTTAATCATCATATTATAGGTGATGGTATCAGGAGAAATTCCAACAGCCATTAGTTCATGAAAAACTTCCTTTGCCCGTTCAAGCCTTCCAGACTCAGCAAGACCATACAAACAGGCATTGCAAGCAACAATATCTGGAACAACACCCTTACTCTTCATAATCTCATATGTCTGAAAAGATTTCTCAAACTCTCCAGATTTTCCATAGTGGTCTATGAACAGGATATAGGTATAAGCTGTTGGCATCGGACCATGAACATCCATATGGTTAAAGAGCTCCTGAGCATCATCCATTCTGTTCCCTCGCAGAAGACCACCAATTATAGTGTTATATGTGTGCAAATTGGGCAATACACCCTTCTCTGCCATAACATCCAACATGTAAGAAGCTTCTTCGATCCTCCCTACCTTGTATAAAGCATTTATCATCATAGTAAAAACAACGACATCCGCATGGTAACCATCTTTGTCCATTTCTTCCCAAAATTCTTGCACTGAATGCAAATCGCCGATGTTACCGAACTTGTCCAACAATGTGATATAAGTCACTCTATCCGGTTTCTGATCACTGGCCTTCATCTTCCAGAATAATTTCTTCGATTCGTCGAGCCTCCCTGCTTCACAAAGCACCTCTATGAGTACAGTATAAGTCACGACATCAGGTCGGCACCCTTGTTGCTCCATTCGTCCTAGTAGACCGAAAGCCTCAGCAATTCTTCCTGCTTGGCCAAGTACCCTAATGCATATGGTGAAGGTGTACACATTTGGTCTCAGTCCTAGCCCTTCCATCTCAGCCAAAAGCCCCATCACGGTTTCTGTCTCCCTCCGCTTCCCCAAAGCCACCATGAGCGCGGAATAAGTCCGGAGACTCGGCGTCATTCCTTCCAAAATCATTCGCTTGTAGACCTCCAATGCCTCTCTACCGGAATCAGACCGGAGAAGGAAATAGATCAACCCATTGTACGAGAACGCATTCATCACGAATCCGGCCTCCCTCATCTTCCAGAGGCCGAACGGAGCACTCCGCAGACCCCCGCGGACACCGAGGGCCTTGAAGATGATCAAGAAAGTGTCAGGGCTCCGCTTCACGATCTGCCTCTGCATTAAGTCGAACACAAGAGCCATGTCTTCCACCCGCCCATGAACCCTCAAGAAGTCGAGCATGTAATCGAAGGACTCGGTGGTGTGGACGACCACCGACCGCTGCGCCACCGACTTAAAGAACGACAGCGCCTGAATCGGATCGGAAATGGACCTAAGGACATCGACCACATTGGCAGAACTCACGCTCACATCCAATTCCCCCTTCTCAGCGACCCCCTCTGCGCTTCTGACGCCGATTCTTGGACGGACAAAACGGAGTCGCTTTTGCTTCTTCCAATGGTGTGAGCAAGGGTTTGGATTCCTGAACGGACATTTACGGAAAGCAACTGGTTTGCCATTAGGTGGGAAAGAACTGGTGCTGCAACATCTTGGGGCAACAGCTGAGGCCAGAGAGGCATCCATGTCAAAGTAGCAAACTTTCTGAGAGAAGAAACTGTAACCAGCACCAATCTCTTCAAATTTCAGTGGGATCGTAACCAATAATTCTGAGATACACAGGCATATATCTACAAGGCACACAAAGGGGAGATAGGAATTGCTTCCCTTACTTATCCTGTGAGCGCAGAGGGCGGGGCGAGATAGGGAAAGGGAGGTGGAGGGCAAACGACGCACTGCAGCGGTTTCTTGTGCGGAGGGGGGGGATGAGGGCGGAGGAGCTACGGGTGAGGTCAGTGGCTCTGTGGCCGTCGTCCTCCATCATCTGCAATGCAGGAGTTACCAGGTCGGACTATCCATATCTAGATCCGAACTCGGTAATTCTCTTATTGGAGGGAACTGTCGAATCCGGTAAGCGCACGGAATCAATCTTGAGGATTCAAAGCCATGTTATCGGGCCATATTTGGGCCCAATAAATGGGCTTCTCTAAGTCCAATTGGTTTACGGACTTCGAATGTAGATCGAGAATTCGGCCTTGCAGTTTGTTTCGAAGGAACAGTAAATGCGACGATAAAGCATAAAAGTAATCAATCGAAACAACAAAGGAGAATGATTTTTTATCTTCAAATTTTGAGTATTGTTCTAATAAAATAGGTTGGGATTTATGGGAAATTTTCTCACGCAACACGAGCTAACTGAATCATGCATCGGACCGCTAGGATTACGTGCCGACAAAAGCTGACGGCGGATCCTAAGGTTTTGACCCCCTCACGCCACCGAGCTCTATAAAGGACGTGCGTTCACGTGCCACGTCTCCCCTCGACCGGGTCACCTGCACGTGTCACCCACGTTCCGGATCCCCCATTGGCAGCAGATCCCGAAAGGGAAAGAAATAGTGGCAGACAAGAAGAAGAAGAAGAGGAAGAGAAGGCGATGGGCTTCTGCATGAGGTTTCTGGAGATCCTGTGCGCCATCGTTCTCCCGCCTCTCGGCGTCTTCTTCCGGTATGGCTGCTGCAAGGTAATAACGTCGAACACACCCTTCTTTTCTCTCTCTCTCTCTCTCTCTCTCTCGCTCTCTCTCTCTGAACCACGAGTGATTCCTTTTTTTGATCTCCTGCGTGGTGATTGTCTCAGCTGGAGTTTTGGCTCTCAGTGGTGCTGACCATCCTGGGTTACGTCCCCGGCATAATCTACGCCATCTACGTGATCGTGACCGATCCCGAGCGCCATTACGATGACGACTATCACGCCGTCTAGGAGGAGATCGACGAAGGAGACGACGTTTCGCCTTCGGATCGTCTTCTTTGTTTGAGTTTTCTGGTTTGCTGTGAGTTGCAGTTGCTGTCAGAAGTAATAAAGAATCGTGTGAGATGGTCTTAATTTGTGGTACCTTTCGTGCATGCTTGGTTATGTCTTCTGTGAGTGAGAGAGTGCATAAATTGGAGATCCAAGAACTGGGTTCTTCATGTCTTCTGTATCTGAACCATGAATCTATATTATTAGTAACCTACTTGTATGATGAATCCAAGTTTCTGTATTGGTATTGACATTAAAGCAATATTGTATATATATATATATATATATATATATAT